GGTGGCTGAAGAAAAAAATCCACGTACAAGCCGCATGGTTCAAAGTTCAGGAAAAAAGTCGCGGCTTATAGTCCGAAAAATACGGTAGTTATTTATCGTATCATCATTAAGCATGGTTATCACAGGTTTTTATGATATCTTGCATCCCTGCAGGGCATGGATCAAAATCTGTCAATTTCTTGTGTCAGGCCACTAAAGAACAGTGACTGAAGGGTTGGGCAGTGGTCCAACGGCCTTATTTTATTTGGAAATTAAGTTCCTAAACTCTGAAAGAGATATAGAATCCAAGCTGCTTCCTTCTAAAGTGAAGTTTTTAAGGTCAGTAATGATTTTGAGGAGACAGGTCACCTGCTGGAGCTGGTCCAAAGTCCAGGAAAGTCCAGTACCGGGACTTTTAATGCTGCTGAGCTTTATGGAGATCCTTTTTGATTGGTCTTATGTAACAAAATTAATGTGCTAAGAAACTAAATTTAGACTTTTTATTCGCTGTAAGCCATAATCATCAAATTACCAAAGAAACACTTGAAATATGGTAAATCCATCTGGGTGTCACAAATCTGCACTGAATTATGTAAAACAGATCAGTGGTCAGAACTGGTCCTGAAGTTTGTGTGTTTTTTCCCCAGTTTCCTCCCACAGACCAACAACGTAAGGTTACCTTCAGGCCCAGGCCTCGCTTGCAAAAAGGAGATCTCAAAGGGATTTGCCTGGTTAAATAAATACCATTTCCATAATATTCTTATTTATTGACGTTTACCTGTAGCTCTCTCCCTCCTATTTTTAGTTTTTGCAACAAAACCAATGGTGGGACACTTCCTCAACCTTTTCCCGTCAACTAAAAAAAATAATAACTTTTTAATGTTAAAAAACAAAAGAGTGAAGAAAAACAAATATCCAACTCTTCAGAAGGGAGGAATTCTGGCTTTTGGCTGCGAAATGTTCATATGAGGCAGTTAAAACAGCTTATGTGTCCTTCATCCTTTTTTTTTTTTAAACGATGAAGCTGCAGTTGCTACTGAACTGAAGTTAGCTGTCACTCGGACCCCCAGCTGGATTTGTTCCCACTCAGGAGTCTGCAGTCTGGAGGGATTTCTGAGGTGATGATGAAAACGGTCTCCTGCTTTTTAAAAGCTTCTTTAGGTTGGTTTTAGAGTCACGGTTCTTCCTCCGTCCAGTCTTTTACCCTCGTCTCTATCACTGCGGACCCTGACGGTCCTGTCTGACCGTTTGTCTTTGGTGCTGAGACGGATGGGTATGACTGGCCTCATCGACCCGAAGGCTGTCTGAGTCAGTTGTCATTAGCCACTCAGTCGTTTGGCTTGTTAGCGTAGCGCCTCATAGAGTTTCGTGTTCTGAGGGCCTCAGCGTCTGATGACCCTTGAACGGAGTGGATGGCGGCGTTGGGTGGTGGCGGAGCGCGAAGCGGGAGCGCTAGTGGCCCACCAGAGGGCTGAGGTCGCCGTGGTGGTTCTTTAGCTTCTTCTTGAAGAGGGAGATGGTGGAGGGTCGGTAAAGGATGATCCACGGCTCGGAGGACACGGTACTCTGGCTGCAGCTGTCGGAGCCGCTGACGGTCGGGATGTTCTGAGACCTGGACGAGAAAACGAGGTGGTTAAACACAAAAATCACACAAGGAAGTTGAAACAACGGCAACTAAAACTAGACATGGGTTTTGTACTATGTAAAAACAAGTGTGCATTGCCACGTAGCATGTCATTGCAGCATGGCTTTGCCTGCAGCATTGGACTTGCAAAATGAACTTTGACCAAGTTCAAATGTGTTTTCTATACCAGCTTGTGCCTGTCATGTCAGCAGGTGTTCAGAATTATGGTAATTGTGTGAATATATGAAGTTTGAAGAGATTTTTTTCTTTAAGTTGTATTAGCTGGGTTTTGAACCCTGATCTCCCACATGAAAGTCCATGACATAGACCATTAGACCAGTGGAGCTGTGGAAGAAGATGGTGGCAGGGGTTGATTTGTATGTGTGCAGAAAGGGGCCACATTGCCAATACAATTATTGACACTAAACTGCATAATATTACAACAATAGAGCAGTATTAAGACAATATTATAGTAAAACATCAAAATACAATCATATTAATATTGTAATCACTGAACTACTGAKTTTAAATATTATGAAACTATGGTGCAGTACCATATTGTGTAGATGCAGCAGGGGGCAGTATAAGGCTCCATTGACTGCCATTATAATTTATTATACATTAATATTTCAAAAACTATGTTTTACAGGCACCAAAAGGCATAGCCATCATTTGGCACAGGGGCTTTACAGATATAAATTACAATGGCAGCTCTAGGACAAAGTATGCAGGAGGAGAAGCATGGCAAAGTTGAGATGACTTGGATGGGAAACGAATCACAATAGTGTGCATTGCATTGACAATGCACACTGATAAACTGAGCTAAGGAATGCAATATGTCTTTCTAAACACCACGTCTGATGCTTGACGATTGTCTCCAAACTTGGTGTTAATCACGTTTAAAAACTGTGGTGCTCACTGCCACTATCTTTCATATTTCACGTTTCAATGATTGAAATCCATCTTTTAAATGTTCTCAAGTTCTTCAAACACCTGTTTATCACCCATTTACTCAAGGCAGGTGTGTTGAAATAGAGAAATCTCTAAAATGTGTCGGGTGGTGTCCCTCAAGGACCAGGATTAAGACACCACTGGTTTCATTGTAAAGTACAGATATTATAGGATTTTTCTCCTTTCTGCTGCCTGTCATTTTACTTGTGATTTGTATTTGTTCTTGTATATAGAATTTGTTTTGTTTTTTTAAATGAAATGAGTAAATAAATCAGCTAAAATGGTAACATTAAGACCACTGAAAAGGAAAACAACATTCAAACTATTTTTTTCATTAGAGTAAATGTGAGTGAAAAGAAGAATAGCTGAGCTTTGACTGAGAATGGGCTGTTTATATAAAAAAATAGCAAAACACCAGGTCTAGAGTTCATTTCAGTTGCAGTTTGCCATTTTATCTACTAGGTGTCTTAAAGTGTCTGTGACATCTAACTTTTGTAATACATATGAATGAATGCATTCTTTGCAAAGATTATATTAATAACATATTGCAAAAAATTCACGACTCTTGGATGAACAGTTGTTGAGATTTTCACATGTGAAGAAACAGGAAGTGATGTCAAAGGGGAATGTTTGCATGAAAACGGAGTGTTGCTACAATAAGACTGTAGAGAAGAATCAAATGTTTTTTTAGATTATTTGGAGTCACTATTAGAGAGAAAAAAGTCGGAGTTCAAATAAAATTTCATGAAATAAATACCCGAAAGTTTAATTTCTTAATGAGTTCCCCTTTGATGTCACTTCTTGTTTCACTTTTTGAGTCAAATTTAAAAGAAAATATGCCAGTTATGTGACAAAATGTATAAAATAATAGTATTAATTTCTTAATGAGTTCCCCTTTGATGTCACTTCTTGTTTCACTTTTTGAGTCAAATTTAAAAGAAAATATGCCATCTATGTGACAAAATGTATAAAATCTTAAATATAAAGACGTTTTTTTTACTTTTTGTATTTGAATGATATTCATGTCACAGCCGCTTTAAAGTGTTTTTCACTTGAGTAAACCTGTTTTTAGCACAAAGCTGTATGAAATC